GGGGGGGACATTTTCATACATTTGCTGTATTTTTGTCCACCCTGACCTCGACTCGGTACCATTGTTTCAGTGTTGAAATGCGGAAAAGGTCCGTTTGTCTTTAATGTTCACCAGTAAATTTTCCGATGTTTTCCGCTTTGCTATTTTTCGCTTTGATTTTCCTTCTTTGGGTAAAATTAAACTTGTATGCGTAAACGAAATTCTTTATGTCAAATATTGACCTGCAAAAATAGGAAAAAAGCCGGAAAATAGAAAAGTATCTTTTCTTTACAATGTCAGACCTCTTTCAAAGATCAGATTCGTTGATTGCCCCTAGATTGAAAGAGGTCAGACCGTTGAAATAAAACAAGCTCTTTGGATATCTCTTGAACCTCGGGAACTTTTATCGCTTTTACTTTTGAGGTACTGCTTCTCAATCTGTACATAAAATAATTGTTTCAATTATTTTAATCAGGGAATTTCCACGAGGCCCTGAATGATGCAACAGCTGCCGTCAAGTTGGAACGAACTTTGATGAAAGCCATAGAAATAGGTAAAATCCTTGACTCGATTGACTTATAACATGCTAAAGTTCAAAGCCATCGTATCGAACTCTGACGACTCAAAGTGCACGGATGTCATCGATCGGATAGCCGAGGATCGTAATTGTGCGATCAGTTCAATTTTCACAGCACAGTGTCACCGTTCCCAGCAATGTCCAAAGATACTTCGTACATTTTTCCAGTAACCCGTCCCACATAAATCAGCAATTTAAACAAGGGATTATTCAGGAAACGTCGCTGAAATCAACCCAGTTTTGATTGAAACACAGTAAGCCATTTTGTCCTACTGGATTCCACAATTCAGTGCCCAGCCTTCACCAAAATGTAGTTCGAAGGCTCTCTGTTAGGCATTATTTCTCTACGCACATTTGTGTAGCTGGGTTGTTAATGGTTAAATACAAGAATAAACCAGGCTTGAGTTGTTTTCACCTTTGTAATGCAGGTAATATTTTGGTATTTTTGAAGGAGCAAGTGCTTGTGAGCAGCTACAGTGTTATGAAGACGCCATACCGTGGTGTGAGAAGGGATTGGTAGTATCTTTTATAACATCATGCTTTTATGTTCTTTGCCAACTGTAATTAAAAAGGAGCTTTCATGTTACCTGTAGGAATTCTAGGTATTCCCTTGCGCTACTTACAAACGAACATTCCTCTCAGAAATGTATTTTAATCCCCAAAACGTAAGGAGGGCTTCCATCCTACCCCTTGTCCTTTGTACAGTCGTGGAGGAATGAGTGGTAACACCTAGGGGTAACTTGAACGAAATACTTTCGAGGAGATATGTGCCGCTTTATCCGACTTATAGAAAGGATCGTACGACTAAAACTTCATTGTTAACGATTGATAGTGTACCTAGGGAGAGTTGTAGCAGTTACTTGGGTTAAAAAAAAATCATCTTTTGTTTTACAAGCTTTTTTCGTATTATCCCCACATCCCTCGTGGTTTATTGCGCCGGTAAACCCATACAAAGAGTGCTCTATCACCGGCTTAAATATAATTTTGTGTACATGACACAGTCAGCTTTTTTGTTAGAGCTTTATACTTTTATCAGTAGAAAAATCCAAACAGCTCAACTGTTTAACCTACATAAGCTTACTGATTATTTGTATATGGAGGACTGCCAAATTGGACGAGGCCTTAGGCCGAGTCCAGTTTAGCAGTCTGAGGAATTTTTCTCATCCAATTATTTTCAAATTGGACAAGCAAGTAGTCCTATTACCTATTAAGTATATAGCATCCAAAAACAGATGAACAAGGAAAATATTTGACCCTCAAAAGCACAGTAAATTTGAAAATACCTAGGTTTTTGTGCTTCTTTGAGCGTTCTTGTTCTGATTATCCTCCTTCATCTCGAGTAAATCAGTAGCATCTATCTCTGGAAACCACAGGGTTCTCCCTTATTTTCAGTACAACAGGTAAAAGAGCATTTTAAGCCGGTAAAACAATCATGGGTGAATCGCAGCCTTGTTTATTAGGTCTGCTCTGTACATTATATGGAATTCAAATCAATGTAGGTGATGTGCTTTCCAAGACAGGTGTTTCTTTCTCAAGTTGCAAAGCCACTTCATCGCCGATGTTGTCGTTTCCTAATAAAAACATTTTCTTTGAAAAGACCTCCATCTAATATGCATTACGGTTTACTAATTTTACACCTTTGGCTTTAGATGTCAAATGAAATCAAACAGCATTTTCATTTTTAAGTGTTTTATTCTTTGTCTGAATTCTCTTGCCCTAAAGTCACAGAAAAATAGGCCAAAGCCACATTCGGGGTATCCTCGCTGTGCTTACATGAAGTGTCACTACAAAATCAGCGGTCGTCTCTCAAAACCAAACGAAATCGTTTTCATTCACGTTCTGGAAGGGTTTCATTGTCAAGGATTCTCTCAAAATGTCGTCTGAAAATAGATTTTAAACACTTTTGACCTGAATGTGGAGCATTTCGTGACGAAGATAAAGTTTTCGATCAACACACGTGAATGTTGGTCGATTTAACAACACCAGTTTTCTAAAGCCGACAGTTAGGTAGGAAGCTCATGGAACTGTAACTGTTTCCATTCGTGACTTCTTGCCATTATGACGGAGAGAATTGAGAACAAAGCTCGTTGTCGGTTCATCGTGAAACTGAGCGTAAACAACTACCGATGCGCGTGCGAAGAAATGACATCTGCCTTGATGGAATTGTGACAGAAAGCCCGCCAAAAATTCACGGATCTTGCCTCGAAGTTCGAAAGCCACAGATAGTACTTACAAACCATAGCCTGCGCAGTTTATCTTTTAATCTGTTTATTTATTCTTTACAAGAAACAACTATGTTTTTTTTCCTTTACCTGTTGAATTTTCAAGAATTCTAAGGGATTTTAGGCGTTAGCGAGTGGTGCTACAGGCGGTAAATTTTACCAGTTACCGCCTGAAAAGGAGAACACTGGAACCCAGCTGAAGACTCCATTTGAAAGTTTGAAACGTCAAAAAGGTGGAGAAAAAAGGTCTGGAAATTCCGCCATTATCAAAACATAATAAAACTTAGCGAGCTACGCTGGCGTTTTCTGGCAGTGATAATAGCTAAACCTGATTGGCCAATACTCGGTTCTTTTATTTATCTTGACATTTGATTGGTTGATGGAAAGTATCCAGATTTTTCTCAAATTGGACAGTTTGTTCAAAGCGAAACTAAACGTTTGAGCCAAAACTATCCAATTTATTTTAAATTTGGACAGTTTGCAGAAATTAATAAAAATGGATCTGTTGGCAAATTGGATTTTGACGCAGCTATATAATTAGTAAATTAATTAATTACTTTATGAGCAAATATCACAAGTTGGCTTAAAAGGTCTTTTGATAGGAAGTAAATTGGAGTTTGAAATCCAGTTGTATATCCTCAGTTACTTGGCGCAAAAAATCACAAAACAACCAAGAGACTCAAGTGTATAATTATAACAAAAAGCGTAACGGTACTCTCTCGTATATTATTTATCCACGCACTTAAAAAAAATCGTTTATGCCTGGAGTCATATCGGGTTGGAACCTCCCCACCCCGCCCTTTCCTTAAATCAACAGAGCCACTGATGTTGTTAATGTTTCCCACCTTCGGCTCAACTTAGACGAGTTTACTACTGGAGTTTCCTGCGGTGAAAAAGATGACTTTTCTGTTATTTATTTTTACACACTGGCTGACATGAGAGGTCAACTCCCTTTATACTGTTACGTGCCAAATTAGTATACAAATTGCTTACAAACAATAATAGCCTTTGATCTCCATAATCGCTGGAATCTTCACGTATTCGCGAGGTTGTATAGCTTTCTGCACCTGTTAGGTTTGCTAGTTTACATTAATTTCTTCCCTACCTCATCGCTTATTTTCAATACATTTCATAGCAGTATATAGGTCAGTCTTTCGCAAACAATAAAGATAAGGCGTTGAACGAAATTCAAAGGCCTTACTACAATATTTTTTAATGAGGTTCTCATTACAAAGTGATGTCATGTGCCTTAACGTTAAGCAGATTGACAAGACTAACAAGATATTGCTAGATTTACGGGCCAGGTGTGTTATTGGTCAAAATAAATTACAAGAAGCAACGGGCAACCCGAAGACTCACTCCGTGAAGGGTCAGGTAAGAAATGCTGGAGAAAGACATATTCTCGGCTTTGAAAGGGAAGATCAAATAATTGATATGTAATGTTCAAACAATCTCCTGTAATAAAGCATGCGCTAGAAGTTGTACTTCTACAACTCACTAGAAACACAGAGCTTGCACGAGCTGTTGACGTAATGATGACGCAAAGAACATTTGTATTTTGATACCTGAAATGACACGATTGATTTTCCTTGCTTTTTTCTCCCAGTATTTTCTTAAAGAAATAGAATCACTTTCTTCGTGTTTCCATTCAGTTTTACTATAAATCTATTTGTTTTTCACGAATGCCCCTCTGTTCTTAATTACGCTACTCGCTACGCTATTCTGTGAATAGGTAGTGAATAGCCTTGTATCGTGCCACCCTTAAGAAAAAGAAGAGTCTATTGATTGGTAGCACCCTTGAATTAATATCAGTATAATTATATTTCTGTGATTCTAGCATCTATTGGACTCAAAAGTAAGAGACAGGGCTAAAGAAGGAACGTTGTATGGTAATCTGGGCAACGCCTATCACATTCTGGGAGATTTCAAAAAAGCCATCGAGTATTATGAACGTCATCTAGAAATTGCCAAAGAAGTGAGAGACAGGGCTGGAGAAGGAAAGTCGTGTGGCAATCTTGGCAACGCTTATGAAAGTCTGGGAGATTTTAAAAAAGCGATCAAGTACCATAAATGTCGTTTAGAAATTACCAAAGAAGAGGGAGACAGGGCCGGGGAAGGAGAGTCGTATGGTAATCTTGGCATCGCTTATCGAAATCTGGGAGATTTCAAAAGAGCTATCGAGTACCATGAACTAGATCTAAATATTGCCAAGGAAGTTGGAGACAGGGCTAGAGAAGGTGCGTCGTATGGCAATCTTGGCAACGCTTATGACAGTCTGGGAGATTTCAAAAAAGCTATAGAGTACCATAAACGTCATTTAAAAATTGCCAAAGAAGTTGGAGACAGGGCTGGAAAAGGCGCGTCGTATGGTAATCTTGGCAACGCTTATGACAGTCTGGGAGATTTCAAAAAAGCCATCAAGTACCATGAACGTGCGCTAAAAATTGCCAAAGAAGTGGGAGACAGGGCTGGAGAAGGAGCGTCGTATGGTAATCTTGGAAACGCTTATGACAGTCTCGGAGATTTCAAAAAAGCCATCGGGTACCAAGAACGTCATCTAAAAATTGCTAAAGAAATGGGAGATAAGGCTGGAGAAGGAAAGGCGTATGCTAATCTTGGCAACGCTTATGACAGTCTGGGAGATTTCAAAAAAGCCATCGAGTACCATGAGCTAGATCTAAAAATTGCCAAAGAAGTGGGAGACAGGGCTGGAGAAGGAGCGTCGTATGCCAATCTTGGCAACGCCTATCATAGTCTGGGAGATTTCAAAAGAGCCATTAAGTACCATGAACTGGATCTACAAATTTCCAAAGAAGTAGGGGACAGGGCTGGAGAGGGAAAGTCGTATGCTAATCTTGGCAACGCCTATGACAGTCTGGAAGATTTCACAAAAGCCATCAAGTACCATGAACTGGATCTAAAAATTGCCAAAGAAGTGGGAGACAGGGCTGGAGAAGGAGCGTCGTATGCTAATCTTGGTAACGCTTATCAGAGTCTGGGAGATTTCAAAAAAGCCATCGAGTATCATGAACTGGATCTAAAAATTGCCAAAGAAGTGGGAGACAGGGCTGGGGAAGGAGCGTCGTATGCTAATCTTGGTAACGCCTATCACAGTCTGGGAGATTTCAAAAAAGCCATCGAGTATCATAAACTGGATCTAAAAATTGCCAAAGAAGTGGGAGACAGGGCTGGAGAAGGTGCCTCGTATTGCAATCTTGGTATTTGCTTTGAATCTCAAGGTTCTATAAATGAGGCTCTTGATTGCTATCGTTCTAGCGTGCGATTGTTCAATGATGTTAGGCAGCATCTGCAAGGTAAAGATGAGTGGACAATTAGCTACCGGGATGATAATGAAACGCCTTATACTAGATTATGGCGCCTAATGTTGAAACAAGGTGACGTATTTGAGGCTTTGTTTGCCGTTGAAGAAGGACGTGCACAAGCTCTGAGAGACCTTATGTATTCAAAGTACGAAACAAAAACACCATATACAGAGGAACAAATTACTTGCGACACAGTAAGTTGCCTTTCATCGAATACAGTCTTTATGGCAGTTCATGAAAGAGAATTAATTTTCTGGATTATTCAAAATGGAGATGTTCAGTTAAGAAGAAAAGAAATCAGCGATAATAATTCGAGGATTGTTGCGACCAGTGTGTTGGAGTCCTTAATTAACACTACTCGTGAGGAAATTGGTGTCGGACGTGGTGTGGAATGCGAGGATCGATCGTTGGATAGGAAAATCGACAGCGACCTGTCAAAGAAGAGGGATCAAACCATATCCCAACGCACGCACTTTGATTCCAATGGTTTGAGAACATTGTATGACGTCATCTTTAGCCCCATCAAAGACTTGATTAATGGCAATGAAGTGATATTTGTTCCCGAAGGTCCATTGTGCTTGGCTCCTTATGCTGCATTCATAGATTCTAATTCAAAGTACTTGAGCGAGTATTTCAAAATCCGGGTCATTCCGTCATTGAATAGTTTGAAGTTGATCAAGGATTGTTCACCAGATTACCACAAAAAGTTTGGGGCGCTGCTCGTGGGTGATCCCTGCTTAGAGGAAGTCGGTTATCCGGGGTTAACGTTAGAAAAGCTACCATTTGCAAAGATAGAAGTAGAGATGATTGGGAAAATACTCAACACTGCTCCCCTCACTGGAAAAGAAGCAACAAAAGCTCAAGTGTTGGGAAGACTTTCCTCAGTTGCTTTGGTGCACATTGCAGCACATGGTAGAATGGAAACAGGAGAAATTGCTTTGGCACCAAACCCTACTGGAGCATCCCCGAAGCCTGGTAAGGAAGATTTCTTGCTAACAATGAGTGATGTGATGGGAGTTCAAATGCGAGCAAGACTGGTTGTGCTAAGTTGTTGCCATAGTGGTCGTGGTGAGATTAAGGCTGAGGGTGTGGTTGGCATTGCACGAGCCTTCTTGGGTGCCGGTGCTCGTTGTGTTCTTGTGTCTTTGTGGGCAATTGACGACAAAGCTACTCTGGAGTTCATGAAGAGTTTTTACCTTCACCTAGCGGAAGGAAGAAGTGCCAGTGAATCCCTGAACCGAGCCATGAAGTGTCTGAGAGAGTCTGAGAAATTTAGCGATGTCATGTACTGGGCTCCATTTGTACTCATCGGTGATGATGTTACCTTGGACTTGGCTAAAGGTAATTAGATGAACTTTAATACAGCTACAGGTACTTAGGTTTTTATTAAATGTTGAGATAATAAAATTGGAAACTAAGTAATATGGAAGGTTCGACTCGGGTCAGATTTCTTTGTGTCGGATAAATAACAAAACTTTGGCGTTTCTTGAAAATCTGAGATCCCTGAATGAATTTACACGATACATAGCACGTGTTTGAAAAGTGCAAACTTGTGTTGGAAAAGGCTACTTTATTTACGCTTTACGTTTGTGGTCGCTATGGTGGTGATACTTTTACATTCATTGTGGTGCGGAACATCATAGCTAAATGGACAAATTGTTTCTTTCCTTTTACACTATAAAAGAACGTACTAACTTCAGAGCTTCAGAGAAAATCGATGAAGTGATCAAACGTACGTTATCCTTGATGGTTGCTAACAGTGTTGTTTTGTCTTATCCGTTAGGTTGTTGAGTTCATCTATCAATACGGAAGAGGGCAACTCTTTCGATTTGTTATTATTATTGCAATGCTAAATACTATTAGGTTTTTTAGTGTAAATAGTGTACTGGCCAACAGTGAGTTTGTAGGAAAATGCTTTTTCTGCTGACTATAGAGCATCAAAGTCGTGTCGATGTGTATCCGTAAAAGCTTTTCGTAAACACAATTTTAGAAAAGAATTACAATTCAATTTAAACGTTTGTTTGGTACACCTTGGGATATGATTTAATAGGGCTGTGTTGAGTAACTTTGAAGTAATCAAAAATGAATAGTAAGTCCAGGCACTGCCTAACCATACCATAAATAACATTTTTAGTAATATCTGAAAATTACGAGGCAAAGTAGTTCCTTTCTGTAATAAGTTAATAGGTATTTTGTTAGAGAAGAGTAGCAAACGTTCTCGGAATTTAAGTGATAGGAAAATGCTTACATTGTTTTTTTTGGTTTATTAGAAATGAACGAGTCGCTAAGATAGATCACACTGCTTCTTTTTGGGTTTACAATGTGTTCTGTTACGTATTATGTACACATTGTTTGAATTTCCAGAGATATCATTTTGAACTTCAGCGTTTTGTTTACATGCAATAAGTGTTAGTTCTAGTTCTAGTTCTATTTCAAAGATTGTAACAATAATATGATAATCAGAGAAAGGCAATGAAGTGAGTCTTGAGTGTCCATTGCATACTTCTTTGTGACGCTATTTGGCTAACATGAAATAATTTGCCGTTTGAAAGTGCTGAGGCTTCAAATAAATGACATTCAGGAATTCCCGCTTGACTTTTTTTTTGGACTTTTTTTTGGGGGGGGGAATCTTGGGGCAGAGTAGTATTTCCCTTTATAACACTCATTGATGACTTTACACAGTAATTCGAATCCTGTGGAGACCTTTAGCAGTTTCTATTGTTGACGTCACCGTTGTCCAGTTCTCGAAAGACAGTAGCAATCAATTTAATCGATTTCTGATCGATTTCCTCATTATCCTTGCGCGCGCTTGCCCAATATGAGCGCAGTGTTAACGACCGAAAAGATAAGTTTTAAATAGTGAAAACAAACTATTGTCGATGCACTTTACAGAGAAAACTGGTAAACTACCAGAAACGTCCCGACCATCCCCACCCATGGATTTCACGGAGACTGGGGCCCATGACTTCACCCTAAATAAGATGTCGTTATTAGACTGTTTTCGATATATTAAAACTCAGCTTGGCAGTGAGGCTTAGAGGACACAAACAAAGGAAATTGAATGGCATGTTTATTCATTTCTTTTGTTTGTGTCCTCTAGGCCTCGCTATCAAGCTGAATTTTAATATGCCGAAAGTGACCTATTTAATGGACCTTGATTACATTCTTGTTTGCGACGTTGTTTGGCTGGCTTGCAGTAATTAATTTGCCGTTTGAAAGTGCAAAGATTTCAAATTATTGACATTCAGGAATTCCTGCCTTACTTGTTTTCCTAAGATCGTGGGACACAACATCTTTGTTTATAATCCATCAAATATTTCGACCGCACGTGACTGGTCTAAACGCGTCACGTGACTGAATATGCCCCGCCTAAAGCCGGGGAATATCCGAGTGATATTCCTCAAATTTCAATATAACGCGTGTTGCGAGAAATATTTGAAGGATAACAGACAAAAGAGCGTCCACTTAACTTCCAGAATATGCTCAGGTATTTGTCCTTGGACATTACCCGTTCCTTGAAGCTCTGCACTTTGCAGAATGGATAATGTCTGCGGACAAATATCCGAGCTTATAATCCATCAAATGTTTTCGCTCGCGCGCGATGAATGGTTTAAACACGTCACATGACCGAATATTCCCCAGCTGAAACTGGGGAATATCCGAGAATATATACTCTTTAATTTTCAAACGTGTGCGTGTTGCGAAAAATATTTGAAGGATAATAAACACACAATAGCCTCCATTTCGCGGACAAATACTCTCGGATATTTGTCCTTGGACATTATCTGTTCTCTTCTCGGAAGAGGATAACGTCCCCGGACAAATATCCTTGCATATTTTCGAGCCAAATAGAGGCTATTGTTATATATGTTCCCACCAAACGCAGACTATTGTTAACTTTTAACACTCATTGATGACTTTACTCCATACTTTCAAGCCTGTATATCAAAGATAGCAACAATTAATTTCATCGATCCACGTTATCCTCGCGCGCGCGAGCACTCGCTAATCATACAAAAAGTCAAGTCTTCAATATTGAAAGTGAACGGTTATTGTCGGTACACTTTACAGAGAAAACTGGTCAACTACCAGTGGCTTCTCGGCCATCCCCTCCCATGGATTTAACGGTGACTGGTACCCATGACCTCTGCCATAATTGCATGGTCGTAAGTATATAAACGCTTCTCTTTCTCGGTGACCGGAAAGCAACGTCACTAAACACTTGACGCCATGACCCTGAAGTCTTTTCAGACACCATTAATTAACCAGATAATGTGCTTGGGATTTTTATGAGGTAAGACGGCAGGCCGAATCAACTTTGGCCTCATAGAAATCAAGTGCAAAGAACCTAATTGTTAATTATTAGAATTCTCTTCGTTCACTGTACAACTGATTGGCTGAGCTATCGCAGACTATCATCCATTAGTGTGCTATGGCTTGGGGTTGTATTGGAATGGGGACGGTTTCTCGTTTCTTCAAAGTTCTCCAGTCATTACACTCTAGTGGCTGATAGGATACGACAGCTCAACCAATCAGATTGCAGCTTTTAAATCAGTCTACAAAGTCGCCTTAGGAGGCTGGAAACAGTTTCCAGCACTTTTCTAACAGCCATACGTTGAAGGATGAATACTACCTCTGTTTAACAACTGATGCTACACAATAATGGTATCACACAAATGCACGATTGTTTGGTAAACAAGTTGCAGTCATCCTTTTTATATGAAGGGTTACCATAGCAACAGTGCAACTTGTTAAAACACCCTTAAATGTAGCTTTAAGCATATATAACTCAAAAACGAGCTTGGTGATCTCACTTTCATTATCGAATTGCAAAAAGCATGATAAGATGTAACTTTTTACAAAGTTTAAACCCTCCTGTGTTACCTTCAATATATATTTCCAGTGTCTAAAGGCCAACCATAACTCCTAAACATATTATTATTTACGTCCCAAGGTTTTTATATCAAACCTTTGGATACCAACCTTGAAACTATTTTCCATATAACAAACGAAAACAAATCCTCAAAGTGAAGAAATTGTGAAAAGCTTATTGGGAAGGAGCATGTACATGTATAAGAATGTGGATAGAAAAAGTCTTTGAATATAATGAACAGCTAACGGTCAACGCGGGTGAGTGAACGAGAGAGTTAAGGTTATAGAAAATGGTTACCCCTGTCTCGTTCGCTCACTCCAAGCTCACTTTACTACTGATACAAAAGATCTGTATCTGTCGGCAGGGCTACAATACAGCTCGTGGAACGGACATTTAACAAGTAAAGATATCTTAATGTTCACCTGGATTTCTAAATTTTAAGCAAACTGATCAAGAGTGACCTTCATTGAGAACTGTTGTTTTGTTATTTCTACAACGCATGCCTCAAACACAATTAGTTTTAATCCTCTGAACTGTAAAAAACGTCCATAAAGAAAAATCACTATTAATTAATCTTGAAACGGTGCTCTGCTAAGTCAGCGGCTCCACACATGTATTTCATCTCCATCTTTCATGTTGTACGTATACAGCTTTTTGGGGCCATACTTCATTTCGTCAAGACCAAAGGAAAATTCAACATCGCGGTAAAGTACCTTGAATCCGGGAGGTGGTAGCCCTACAATCTCACTTAAATATTTTTTCAAGCTCGTTGTACTCTGCATAAGGTTTATTTCTCTCTTAAAAAGAGGTTCATCATCAAATACAAACGAGATCAAGGCAGATTCTTTAGCTTTAAGGTTGACCTCAGCCAGTCGGTCTAACACACCATGAGCATCTACCAGCTCAAGATACCTTGAAGGAGGACTTTCATCATCCATGTGATGACGAATGAAAAATCGTTCAGCGTCTTCCCGTTCTTCGTCTGTCACGCCGGTCTTGTTAAGCTTTTGAATGTTAGGGAGCCTTGCAATAAGAAGCTGGCGCTTGTGTTGATCTGAGTACTGCTCTAGCAGGGGTATCCCCATGACACTGACATCTGTCAATCCTGGGAAGCATTTCAGCGCATCAATGGCTTCCCACGAGTCAAGCAGTGTATCATTTAGGTTCAGCACCTTCAGGTTGGGAAACTGTTGTGCAATCTCAGTGGCAGTAATATTTTCCAGAGGGCACTCTGACATACGCAGCTCTACCAAGCCTGGGAACACAAATCCCACCTTTCCAATCTCGTTCCATTGTGTGATGACATGTTTGTTGATTGACAAGCTTCTGACGTTTGGATATTGCTCTGGTGTATCTGGAATGCTTTTGTAGCCATTAAGACTCAGGTAAAGGTCTTGTACTCTAAAGTTTAAAGATGAAAAACAAAAACTTTAAACCTGCATGTATTCCATGCAAATGAGCTTGTGTGCTCTGGCATCAACATAGGCAAACAACCTGTCCAAAGGGCTAATTATGTGGCTGTATTCCTAGAGCTTGGGTGGCAAAAGGCCACCAGGAGTAATTGCTACTTGCCTGTATTGTTAGCAGGTCCACCATTGGCGCTCCCCCCCCTAACCCCCCCCCACCCCCCCGTGCATTGCCCGGTTGTGGTAACAGTCTGACAAAATCAGGTAACACAAAGCAACTAGGAGTAATTATTAATTGCCTATATATATCGTAAGCAATTCTACAATGGGCCACCCCCAAACCCCTACACATTGCCAGGTTGTGGTAACAGTTTGACAATATCAGATACTTTACCCCTGGGTAGGCTAAGAGTAGCCCCACTTTTCCCTAGTGCAAAATCTGGGGTCAATAGGTGCAATTCTCACCCCTTAAGCTTTGGCACCGCCATTTTTTCTGCACTTTTTTTACGTCACTCTCAATTGACTAGGGAAAAGAAGGACTATTCATAGCCTAACCTCTGGGTTAAGAGAGACCCCATGTCTAAGAATATGACACAAAGACCCCAACCAGGGCTACTGCATGACCAAAATCTCAATCCTTCCCCATGTTCTTCTCAGACTACACATGCCACTTGTAGTCAATCTTTTCCCTTGGGACCTGATGAGCACCTTGAAAGCACCTTAAAAGCATGGTTCCCACTGTAGAGAACTTGGAAAAGTTAGCACCTTCTCACTGGTATATTTATAAAATATTTAAAGCTAATGGTTTAATACTAAGACCTACCCAGTGAGGCAATTCAACAGAGAGTAAACTGTCTCCAGTGGTACGGCTGTGTTGTTTAGGATGAGTTTTTTAATAGAAGGTAAAGAATCCTTGCACTGGTCTGCCATAAATGGAGTAAAGTCGTCAATCCTTTGCCACAAGTAATTTTCACTCAGGTTTAAAAACTCCAACTTCTGTAGTTGACTAATTATTTGAAATACCTAAATGGCCAACAAAAAGAAAGGAAAGAAACACAGCCATTAACCAGCCATTTATTCCTCCATTGATGCCATCAAGTAAAAGGGTTTCTACAGCATGTAGAAGATCGAATGTTTGAGGTTAATAACTTGTTTATTAATAATATATTATGGCTTTCTGCTTTGTTTTGCACGCCTGTACGGGAGAATGATGCCCTGGAATTACCCAATCAGAACATGTGTTAATCAGTTACAAACACAAGCCAGATAATAATACATTAATAATAATTATCATAATAGTAATTATTATGTGTCTAATATTATGATTATGCAACTGAGAAAAATACTTCATTGTAATTAGCTGAGAGCAGGCCAATTTGTATGATATTGCCTAATATATTTATTTTTGATATTGAAGAATAATATAAATTATTATCAATAAATTATGTATCCTAACATTAATTTTGTTCTGTTCAGCTAGCTTTTATTTCTAACCTCTTGAAAATCAGAAAGATCATTCTTTGCCAGATCCAACTCTACAACATTTGGACAAATTGATGCAATCTCTCCAACAGGACCTGCACAGTTGATTCCACGGCCATCAAGAGTGATGATTTGTTTTTGGAAGTGGTCTGACTGACCAAAAGAGGCTGAAAATGATGCATAAATTATTCAGTTAACAATGTAGATAAATAGATTTTTTAAAGGCATAATACATATAGATGTACATGTAGCTGATGCCATCCTACAGACAGCGCTTCTGAAATTTCGCGTGGCCGTGCAGCTGCAAATTGCGAGTAAATCCGAAAAACTCTAATGTTGCAAAAAACTGAGCAGTGGCCATAATGTAAAAAGCTTTGCCATTGGCGCATTTCTCCAGCACGTTGTTAAAAGAGCAAATGATGATCTCTGTTAAAAAGAACATCTTGGTCAAACAAATAGCAAGCGTGTATGATAGTTCAAATTAGTTGCTGAAATTTTCCTGCAAAATTGCCAGTTTTAGAAATGCAACATTTGTAAGTACTTAAGTCAGTGTTTCTATTGCTGATGTTATATTGCATAGGCTAATGCTCATCACTTTCCCCTAAAAATGATAAAATTGCCATCTTTTTTTGCTAAAACTGTTCGTCAAATTGGTGCAAAACCGATCACTTTCCTGCAAACTTTGCCCAGAAAAATTCCCACAAATTATCGGTCGTTTTTACCAATCCATTTTCGGTGATATTTGCCTTGAAAATTCCTGTAAAATTCTCGTGAAATCCACCAGTTTTTTTCGCAAATTTGTTTCTGAAAATCCTGTGAAAGTAGACTTTTTTCCCGCAACCTATCGGAAGCCTTGCACAAAACACTAATGAATGATAAAAGTAGGGGAAAGCAGGTCGACATGTCGACTAGCTGGAATGAAGCCCTCCATTATCCCAAAATGAAAAGTGTTGTCTTTTCCCAAAATAAAAATACCCTCTGTTTTAACCAATCATACAATGCAATTCAGCAATATTTTGCATGTATGCTATTTCATAAGTTTGTTGGAAAGTTGTGAAAATATAATTGTTTCAATTTTAAAGTGTGGGATGGCATCAGTGTAACCATGTAAACATGAAACAAACAAAACAAAAAAAATAATAATAATACTACTAAGAAGAAATAAAAAAAGTCAACATATAAAAAATCTCTGGCCTCCAAGGCAAGCACTTGGTTTAAATTAGTGAAGTTTTGCTATAAATTTTAAAATGCTTTTTAAAAAATTCATATTTATACAAATTGTTGAATTTAAAACTGGGGGTCAACACTGATATGTACACATTCTTATGTCCTTTTGTTTTAAAAACTTGGACCTTGAACATAGCTATGCTCCATGATTGGTCAGATTCCACTGTTTACAACATGTACATGAAGCTTTGTAAACAAACATGCTATTTCTATTTAACAAGCAATCTCAAGGAGCAGATCAGAATAGCATTAAAGATACAAAGCTACGTGATTCCTTGACAAATGTTTTTACATAACGATAAGGTTATTTTGATAATAATAAGTCTTCGATGTATACAAGAAAAACTTACTTATTTTTGGCATAATTATAATTTCGGACTTCATGGTTACATATAGCATAATATTAAAAAAAAAATGTGCAACGTTTAAAGTTTTACCGCTGATTGTCATTTGGGACAATGGTATAAAGAGAATATTCAAGAACCGCGTTTCTGTAACCAGCACAAATAAGTTGTTAGGAACACAAAATAAGGCTATAAATAATTCTATTTAAGCTTAAATATATACAAAACAACTCTCACAATTTTTGTATACGCTTCGTTTACGAAAAAATTCCTCTGATTAAGCTTAAGCAAATGTTCGATATCAATGCAGCCAGAGGCCAGAAATAAGTTTAACTTAAAGATTCACGTGCTCTTTAAACGTACCTTTGTGCTTTGGAGATCCCGTAAAATGTATAAAGCACAGGTCTTCATCGCTCTCCTCGTCATCAAAACTGTATTTACTTAACAGAGCGTCTTTGAAAGAAAGCCTTCCTTTCTTCGCTTCTGAATCCACCATGGTCACATAAAACGCATCGAAAGGACTTGTTCACACGTGTAGAAGTTTGTATATTCCTATAAACTACTTGATCCGCAAAATTCTGCAGGAAAAATGAACAATTTTTGCTGATCTTTCAGAAAAATGGTTCTGTGATGCGTGTCACGCAATGATGCGAAGAAATGAACTAGTCACGCGACTAAAACGTAGGAAAACTTAATTAGCCGCAAGCTTACAGTTACAAGTTGCTTTCGTTATAAATCCTTACCTATTTGGGATATTCAATGGGTAAATTTCCGCCAATATTTCTTCAGAAAAAGACTCGGCGAATATCTCTTTGTTTTTGTTTATGAATGACCGCAAAGGATCAAGGAATCTGGACGAGTGGAATCTGGACCCAATTACGTCATGGATTGCGAAACGAAACTGGTTCCCAGGTCGTTCCCAAATTGTTTTCCTTAATTCTTTATTTCCTGACAGTCTTGTGAGGTTGTTTCTCTTCGTGTTTCCTTAAGATGTGACCCATTGGAAGCACCTTGGTTGCGGAAAAGAAACAGAGAGAAACCAGCGCGATTATGTTTAGCTCTTGGATTTTCGCGAGAGTTGCATTTTACCCATCTTTGCTATGGGGAATAGTCACCGAGAGTGCTACCAAAAGATGGTACGACCGTGTAGACACTAACGTTATTTTGGGGGCATTACCGTTTAAGAGTCAAACTAAAGAAGTAAGTGCACCATTTAGCCCAGTAAGCTTACTGAGCTAGAACTTAGCTAAGTAATCCTTCAGGTAAGCTTTCCGAAAATAGCCTAAAGGAAATCTGTCTAGTCATTAAAAGTAACCACCAGTGAAGGCAGTCCAGCTATGAGAGGTCAGATGTTACCTACAAGGGATGTGTGCCCACAAGTTAAGGGATGTCTGCCTATTGTACGTATCCATCAATGGGAGTGTCCACCTTTGGGGTAGGAAGGTGTCTGCCCACAGGCAACGTCTGCCTATGGGAGGTATCTGTCTACAGGAGTTGTCCACCTTAGGAGGTGTTCCCCCGAGTCCCCTGTGGGAGGTCTCTGCTTATTAGCCTGGGTGGCAGGCATTCAAAGGGGGAGGAGAGTGGAAAACTAGAAGTGCGAAGTGCGAGCAACGGTCTTCGCACTTCTATTTCCCCCCTTTTCCTCTCCTTTTAGCACATGCCATGCAGGTTATCTACCTATGGGAAGTGTCTTTGCACAAGGGGACCACATTGCTGGAGTTTAGAGAGTTCACTGCCTGACAGGCTCTACATTTGTACATTTTTCTTAGCTTGTGGAAAATGAAAATGTCCGAGGAGTGGTAACCATGAATGAAGACTACGAGACAAGATATTTTGCTAACAGCAAAGAGGTAAACACATGTTTAATATGCACTTCAATAAAATTATGCTACATCTGTTCTCAATGGTTGTTAATGGTTTGCCAGACTTCAAATGATTCATTTGATGACAACTCAGGCAACCTTAGATGTCTAGTTAGATTATGTTACCAAAGAATTCTAAAAGTAATGGTCTCAGTTACTTTTGGATTTAGCAGTCCAAAGTGGCTGCTACTTTTGGGTAGCCGTTACTTTAGGATGGTTAAGAAACGTTAATAAGAACGTGTACAGTAACAGTCTTTTCAGACAAAGCAGATGTGTAACACAGGAATTTAAAAGTTCTGTGTGTACACATGCATGTTTCTAGGTGGGTGTTCTTTAATTATCCAGTGTCAATTCACGTAACAAGCTCTTCCATTGAGCTGTGCTTTCTTACTTCCTAGTCAGGCTGCTCCATCCACATTGCACCTGAGAACAGAGCTTGATTCTATTTTAGTGACTTCTTCAAAGGGCTGCTACTTTTGGCTGGGCTGTTACTTTCAGGGGAATGTTACTGTTTGGGTTCAATAGGAAGGTAAAAAAAAAAATCATGTCACTTTCGGGGAACCGTTATTTATTTATTTATTTATTTATTTACTTTATTTTATTTTTTAAGGGGAGGGTGGTTACTTTTAGAATTCTATGGTATGTCATGACATTTTTATGCTTCGATGCAACCACTGGTAGCATGTACTTATGTCAACATCAAGTATTATAATCCGTAAAATATTTTTGCTCAGGTGCGATTGGTTTAAACTTGTCATGTGACTGAATATTCCCCACCTAAAACTGGGGAATATCTGTGAGTGGTATTCCCCGATTTTCAAAAACGCCCGTGTTGCGAAAAATATTTGAAGGATAATAAACACAATAGCCTCCATTTGGGTGAAAATATGCTCGGATATTTGTCCTTAGACAGTATCTGTTTCTTGTAGCTCACAGTTTTCCTTGAGCTATGCTCTTGGAAAACTGTTGGCCTCTCTGAACAGATAATGTACGCAGACAAATATCCAAACATATTTCCATGTCAAATGGAGGCTATTATTTACATAACAAAGCCTTCTCTGTGGACACAGCAACCATACATGTACAATGAATCTAGTTTATGATTTCAATATACTCTTGAGTGATGGGTAATTCAGTGGTAACAAAATCAGGGACCTACAGTGCACGTGTACATCTGGGTTATTTTTAGGCATATATTTGCACTTCGAAGAAATTTGACAACATTTGCTGTAATTTGAGTACATGACATCTTGGGGCTTAATCACAAGGCTGCATCTGATAGCTCCTGAAAAAGGAGCCTTATTTTTTTGGCAAGGCCTATGTGTTCATTTATTTCATAATCTCTGTTTAAATTTTCATAATCTCTATTTAAACATGGTTTAAAAATTCATCAGCTTAAAAACCTAATATATTTAATTCCTAATGTCTATTATAATGGGAATGATTAAATAAAAAAGCTGCTTTCCATGAATGCCATACCTTAGACGTCTCCTTTGAGTAGGTGTTTAAATTGCCCCAGGGACTATTTTTGGGATGGAGGGAGGTGCTTACCAGTATATATCAGAATTTTATGGTTACATACAACATCGCAGTTTTGTTGTTGTTGTTGTTGTTGTTTACCGAACAGGAATGGGCAGAGTGGGGTGTTGTGCAATTGCAGCTGGCTACAATCGATTTTAACAACGCACCATCTCAGGAGATGCTCCAGAGGGGAGTGGGGTTCATTGAAAAGATGAATAGGAATGAAAACAGTGTTTATGTTCATTGCAAGGCAGGAAGAGGACGAAGCACAACACTAGTGGCTTGTTATCTGATGAAGGTAGAGTCAAGAACAAATGAGTTATAATTATTACTTGATGAGAATGCTTGGACATCATAGTGGCCAGTATATGCATATTCAATTGTTGTTCTTAATGAATAAATAATTCTCTTCTTTTGGTAATTGAGTTCTCTCAATAGCATGGCAGCCTTGAAAACACTTGGGCCACTGTCTTGCATAGTTCCTTTGCCTTTTTCTTACATCACAATCAATCCATTTCGGGTTATTGTTTCCAAAATGCATGCACCTTCCCTCTTTGCATCTTATCATATATTAAGCAGACTTTTTTTTTTACCCATACCTTTATCCCTCTTCTATCATCCCGGCATAGTTCTATCATCCCAGCAAGACTGTTGAAGATCCTGGAGGGTCCTTACAAACATCTTTGCAAGATCTTACAAAATTCTAAGGGTGGGAGTAGGACCTTAAAGACATTGTAAGCTCTGTTAAGGTTTTTCACCAGAGAATTACAATCATGTCATTCCATGGGTGAGTACGGATATTTTCTGGAACTGTTTCAATGTTTTGTTTGATTTACCCTACAGGCCAAGAGATTAACACCAGAGGGAGCATATCAGTACATCAAAAGTAAACGACCTCATATCCTTCTTGCTCCTCGGCAGTGGGAAGCCATTAAAGTGTTTCATAAGAATCTGTCACAAGATGAACATGATGAAACATGATTCATAAAATGTTCAACAAGTTACTGAATTAATATATTTTTGTAAAATTGTATAACATCAAAC